CTGAGAATGACTTCAAATGAACCCCTGTGTGACAACCAGCTACCAAGTTGACATTTCATAAATGCTCGAATTATCAACCCTTAACCTATAATACAACCAGTGCAGACCAAGATCATGCAACACACATGTGCCATCTTAATAATTATGGTCTTCACAGTTCACTTTAAGCCAGTATGTATTTAGGAATTTTCTCCAAAATGATAATGGTTTTGTCCAGATTGAAGGACTGACATGTCCAATTGTGATGTATAGATAGGAAAATGGTTATAAGCTCCCTCCTGTAGAAAAGTAAGACAAATCTGACATGTTTCCAACCCCAAAATTGGCAAAAGAGGATTAATTCAGTTAGTTATCTTAACACCCCTGTATAAGAGGACACCCTGTTTAAGAGACCATCGTGTATAAGAGGCCACCCTTTGACACAGACTACTCTGTTAGACAGGGAACATATCAGGAAAAATGATGGGAGAGGCATATAAATATTACATAAAAATTACATAAAGGGGTGTAATATCAGTATATTACATAAAATCACAACTTACGTCGGCCATAGACGAGCCTGGAGTAACATAGTCCCCGCTACTGTCCGACTCAGTCAGGGACTTGGGATACTGTTTCTGTGTACCATCGGTAGTTAAGATCCTATGTGGTATACTCATTCTGTTACCCTCCAACCTGTAAATATACAAAAAACATACAAAAAATATTAATCTTTAAAACTGTTCACTTTTAAGAGGAGAAAATTTGTAAGTGGCCAGATAACTCAGACGGTAGAGCAACTTAAAGATATTCTGAGGGTCTCAGGTTCAAGTTCTAGTCAAGGTATTTACAAGGGTCTCGGGCTCAAATCCTAGTTGAGGTATTCCGAGGGTCTCAGGTTCAAGTCCTAATCAAGGTATTCCGAGGGTCTCAGGTTCAAGTCCTAGTCAAGGTATTTACGAGGGTCTCCGGCTCAAATCCTAGTCGAGGTATTCTGAGGGTCTCAAGTTCAAGTCCTATTCAAGGTATTTACGAGGGTCTCAGGCTCAAATCCTAATTGAGGTATTCTGAGGGTCTCAGGTTCAAGTCCTAGTCGAGGTATTCTGAGGGTCTCAGGTTCAAGTCCTAGTCGAGGTATTCTGAGGGTCTCAAGTTCAAGTCCTTGTCAAGGTATTCTGAGGGTCTCAGGTTCAAGTCCTAGTCGAGGTATTCTGAGGGTCTCAGGTTCAAGTCCTAGTCGAGGTATTCTGAGGGTCTCAGGTTCAAGTCCTAGTCGAGGTATTCTGAGGGTCTCAGGTTCAAGTCCTAGTCGAGGTATTCTGAGGGTCTCAGGTTCAAGTCCTAGTCGAGGTATTCTGAGGGTCTCAGGTTCAAGTCCTAGTCGAGGTATTCTGAGGGTCTCAGGTTCAAGTCCTAGTCAAGGTATTCTGAGGGTCTCAGGTTCAAGTCCTAGTCAAGGTATTCTGGGGTCTCAAGTTTTCATGTCCTAGTCAAGGTATTCTGGGGGTCTCAAGTTCATGTCCTAGTCGAGGTATTCTGGGGGTCTCAAGTTTTCATGTCCTAGTCGAGGTATTCTGGGGGTCTCAAGTTCATGTCCTAGTCGAGGTATTCTGGGGGTCTCAAGTTCATGTCCTAGTCGAGGTATTCTGGGGGGTCTCAAAGTTCATGTCCTAGTCGAGGTATTCTGGGGGTCTCAAGTTCATGTCCTAGTCGAGGTATTCTGGGGGTCTCAAGTTCATGTCCTAGTCGAGGTATTCTGGGGGTCTCAAGTTCATGTCCTAGTCGAGGTATTCTGGGGGTCTCAAGTTCATGTCCTAGTCGAGGTATTCTGGGGGTCTCAAGTTCATGTCCTAGTCGAGGTATTCTGGGGGTCTCAAGTTCATGTCCTAGTCAAGGTATTCTGGGGGTCTCAAGTTCATGTCCTAGTCAAGGTATTCTGGGGGTCTCAAGTTCATGTCCTAGTCAAGGTATTCTGGGGGTCTCAAGTTCAAGTCCTAGTCGAGGTATTCTGGGGGTCTCAAGTTCATGTCCTAGTCAAGGTATTCTGGGGGTCTCAAGTTCATGTCCTAGTCAAGGTATTCTGGGGGTCTCAAGTTCATGTCCTAGTCAAGGTATTCTGGGGGTCTCAAGTTCATGTCCTAGTCGAGGTATTCTGGGGGTCTCAAGTTCAAGTCCTAGTCGAGGTATTCTGGGGGTCTCAAGTTCATGTCCTAGTCGAGGTATTCTGGGGGTCTCAAGTTCATGTCCTAGTCAAGGTATTCTGGGGGTCTCAAGTTCATGTCCTAGTCGAGGTATTCTGGGGGTCTCAAGTTCATGTCCTAGTCAAGGTATTCTGGGGGTCTCAAGTTCATGTCCTAGTCAAGGTATTCTGGGGGTCTCAAGTTCATGTCCTAGTCAAGGTATTCTGGGGGTCTCAAGTTCATGTCCTAGTCGAGGTATTCTGGGGGTCTCAAGTTCATGTCCTAGTCAAGGTATTCTGGGGTCTCAAGTTCATGTCCTAGTCAAGGTATTTACGAGGGTCTCAGACTCAAATCCTAGTTGAGGTATTCTGAGGGTCTTAAGTTCATGTCCTAGTCAAGGTATTCTGGGGGTCTCAAGTTCATGTCCTAGTCAAGGTATTCTGGGGGTCTCAAGTTCATGTCCTAGTCAAGGTATTCTGGGGGTCTCAAGTTCATGTCCTAGTCAAGGTATTCTGGGGTCTCAAGTTCATGTCCTAGTCGAGGTATTCTGGGGGTCTCAAGTTCAAGTCCTAGTCGAGGTATTCTGGGGGTCTCAAGTTCATGTCCTAGTCGAGGTATTCTGGGGGTCTCAAGTTCATGTCCTAGTCAAGGTATTCTGGGGGTCTCAAGTTCATGTCCTAGTCGAGGTATTCTGGGGGTCTCAAGTTCATGTCCTAGTCAAGGTATTCTGGGGGTCTCAAGTTCATGTCCTAGTCAAGGTATTCTGGGGGTCTCAAGTTCATGTCCTAGTCAAGGTATTCTGGGGGTCTCAAGTTCATGTCCTAGTCGAGGTATTCTGGGGGTCTCAAGTTCATGTCCTAGTCAAGGTATTCTGGGGGTCTCAAGTTCATGTCCTAGTCAAGGTATTCTGGGGTCTCAAGTTCATGTCCTAGTCAAAGTTCAGTCCTATCGAGGTATTCTGGGGGTCTCAAGTTCATGTCCTAGTCAAGGTATTCTGGGGGTCTCAAGTTCATGTCCTAGTCAAGGTATTCTGGGGGTCTCAAGTTCATGTCCTAGTCAAGGTATATTCTGGGGGTCTCAAGTTCATGTCCTAGTCAAGGTATTCTGGGGGTCTCAAGTTCATGTCCTAGTCGAGGTATTTGGGGTCTCTATGTCTAAGGTATTCTGGGGGTCTCAAGTTCAAGTCCTAGTCGAGGTATTCTGGGGGTCTCAAGTTCATGTCCTAGTCAAGGTATTCTGGGGGTCTCAAGTTCATGTCCTAGTCAAGGTATTCTGGGGGTCTCAAGTTCATGTCCTAGTCAAGGTATTCTGGGGGTCTCAAGTTCATGTCCAAGTCAAGGTATTCTGGGGGTCTCAAGTTCATGTCCTAGTCGAGGTATTCTGGGGGTCTCAAGTTCATGTCCTAGTCAAGTTATTCTGGGGGTCTCAAGTTCAAGTCCTAGTCGAGGTATTCTGGGGGTCTCAAGTTCATGTCCTAGTCAAGGTATTCTGGGGTCTCAAGTTCATGTCCTAGTCAAGGTATTCTGGGGGTCTCAAGTTCATGTCCTAGTCAAGGTATTTACGAGGGTCTCAGACTCAAATCCTAGTTGAGGTATTCTGAGGGTCTTAAGTTCAAGTCCTAGTCGAGGTATTCTGAGGGTCTTAAGTTCAAGTCCTAGTCGAGGTAATTCTGAGGGTCTCAAGTTCAAGTCCTAGTCGAGGTAATTCTGAGGGTCTCAAGTTCAAGTCCTAGTCGAGGTATTCTGAGGGTCTCAGGTTCAAGTTCTAGTCAAGCTATTATGAGGGTCTCTGGTTCAAATCCTAGTCGAGGTATTCTGAGGGTCTCAGGTTCAATCCTAGTCAGACTGCACATTTTTCTCACCCTGTGACATTACTATAACACTAGCACTGAATTGAATCACCATGACAACCACTGAACTGATTAAAATTTGAGCCTGTGTCACATTTCTTTGAAACTGACAAACAATTTTTTTTCGAATCTGACAAATCATTGTGTGTCAGTTATGCCTAAATATTAAAGAACACACTAAATATCCAATTCTCCCATACCTCTTCTTTGGTACAACACCATCAAAGTGCTGTTTATAAACAATCATACCTTAAACAAAATGTCATAAAAAACAGTGAAATATCAATAAAACTTTTAGACAAAAATGTCAGCAAATACTTCTGACAAAATATCAGCAAAAAATCTTTGATGAAATGTCAACAAAAAGTTTTGACAAAATGTCAGTAAAACCTGACATTTGATAAAAGAGAACAAAATTGTTAAAAGTACAGCATACTAAAATAAAATAGTGCACGTACCCTAGCCTTTAAAGGAGAACAAATATTTCAATATTACAAGTATCATAAATACATACAAGGCGGAACCAGCCGTGTGTATATTTGGAAGATATCCAAATAATTCCTGAAACTGATGTATATCCATTTTCATTCATATATATATATCCGATATCTACTGTCAATTATTATTTATATATATATATATAATATCAAATATATACACATATATATATAAATATGTTATTTAAGCTCCATGCCAAACATTAAAACCGTCAAAAAACAAAAATAAAGTTTTTTTTTAGTCACAGATCCATTATCAGTTTATTATCACGCAAGTTAAGTATACATATTTTCGGCTTTACGATATAAAACACATAGAAATATTCTCCATTTCTTAAGTCGCGATCCAGTGTAAAATACAACTTGTGTAAAATAAATATACACTCCACTGATGTGTAAACACAATCTATTTTTCAATGTCACTCGTACACGTTCTTTATATTCAAACAGTACACACAATTTTTTTTTCAAACGCTTTAAAAATAGAACCAAATTTTTCTTTGGGAATTTGTCCAAAACTTGTGTAAGTTAAATTTCAAAATTTTAAATATGTTGTAAAGTGCAGTCGTATTCTTATCGCTTATAAGTCATAACTGTACTGACATATAATACGTCTTTTCCAATAGAATTAAATCAACAATACTGGCTGTGCCTTTTATCATAATATCTTCACGGATCAATAACCTAATAATATCATCCACTTAAACAGCAAATACGCTTCTTTAATTCACAATGTCTCCCCCCCCCCCCCCCCCTTATCTACGAATGGCTTCTCTCAAGCCAGGTTGTTTCGTCTTTTTTCCCCCCCATTGTTTTTTTTTAATAACCAGTTTGAAACCACTCTCTTGTTTATTATAGAGATTATGCCAGTCAGTGTTTAAAGAAAGAATTAATAACTCTGTAAAAAACTGGCTTCGAATCATTCAGGGAAATTAATATTATTCCCCTTTTGTATTATTTAGAGTTTATAACCACTTCTATATAAATATTCAATTTCAAAACATCACTCTGATTAATCTCAGTTTTATCAGTTTTAGATAGTTTTTTGACAAAAATGTTCATAAATAACAATATTAACATTTTAATTCAATTCATTCCATTTAAATTTTTTTTTTTAATACCTTGTATTATCAGAAACTTCAAAATTGTCAGAAAATAGCCAAACATTTG